ATTACGGACATCAGAATTATCTGTAGCAATTGGCTTAGTTCATTAGGAAAGAGCACAAATGAACGGATCTCATATGAATTCTTGGTCAGTTTTCTGCAAGGACTCTCATCCCCGTAGATGGCATCCTCTACCCCCACTTAGCTGTCTCCTTTCTGTGTGACTGCTCTCAAGAACAACAAGGGAAAAGGTTGGGGAACTCAGCCAAACTTGTTGCTATTCCTAGAAAAAAAGTGCCTTGAATCCCCATTAAACTTTACAGGATGCAAAATACCTAGATGGTGTTTCCACGTGACCTGGGTCTGAGTGTTGGATAGGTTTCTCCAGTCACAGTCACTTGAGAGAGGCTGTAGAACACACTAAACAGTAAATTATATCTTTCCATGAAAATGAAACTAATGAAGTACAGCTGACCCTTAACGCAGGAGTCAGGGGCAGTGACGTACCCTCTCCCCGCTGTGCACTCGGAAATCTGTGTATGTAACTTTTGACTTCCCAAAACCTTAACTACTAGTAGTTTATGGTCGACCAGAAGCCCTGCCGATAACATAAACAGCTGATTAACACACATTTTGCATATGTATTATATATGGTATTCTTACAATAAAGTCAGCTAGAAAAAAGAAAGTCATTAAGAAAATAATAAATCTGCGCATAAATGGACCCACGCAGTTCAAACCAGTGCCGTTCAAGGGTCAAGTGTAAATAAAATACTCAATTTAGAGGACTTCCAAAGAAGCTCCCACATCCCTAACTCATCTTCCTTCAGCCTTTAATTCTGTGTGAAGTTCTGATGAGTTTCTAGTTACTCCATCTTCTAATCCATTTCCCTGCAGCATCTTGCTATTTTTTTCTTCTGAAAGTCTTATTTCTCATTCTCAGAAAGGCTCTTTCCCCCACTTCTGAACATTTACAAAAGCACATGTGAGCTAAATAGATTTTTTTAAAAATTTTTTATTATGTTAATCACCATATATTACATCATTAGTTTTTGATGTAGTGTTCCATGATTCATTGTGCATAACACCCAGTGCTCCATGCAGAATGTGCCCTCTTTAATACCCATCACCAGGCTAGCCCATCCCCCAGCCCCCTCCCCTCTAGAACCCTCAGTTTGTTTTTCAGAGTCCATCATCTCTCATGGTTCATCTCCCCCTCTGACTTACTCCCCTTCATTCTTCCCCTCCTGCTATCTTCTTTTTCTTTTTTCTTAACATATGTTGCATTATTTGTTTCAGAGCTAAATAGTTTTTTAAACAAGTATATACCTAGTGATTCCTCAAAATGACCCCAAAATAGTGGATACACAATAATTTAAAGATAGATATTACTTCCACATGTTAATTTTTTTAAAGATTTTATTTTTATTTTTGCAAGAGAGAGAATGAGCATGAGCGGGCGGGTGGGGGGCAGGCGGAGGGAGAAGCAGACTCTCTGCTGAGCAGGGAGCCCGATGTAGGACTCGATCCCAGGACCCTGGGATCATGACCTGAGCCGAAGGCAGACGCTTAACCGTCTGAGCCACCCAGCAGCCCTCCACATGTTAATTTTTATAATGTAGAATTAATTCTACATTACGTTTAATGCAATTAATTAAGCTAAGAGCTATTTACTGATTCAATGGAAATTTCTTTTTAAACTGGGAACCACTTGTGAAAGGAAGCGAACTTCCTCTGACCTGCTCTGTTCTTAGCCAGAACTGGGTTTGTGTGGTTGACTGGGCTCTGGAGTCAGAAAAACCTGGGTCAGTAGATGTGTATCTTTGGGCAAGTCACTTAACTGACCCCAAATATTTTTCTGCCCTTAGAATAGGAACACTAATATCTACATCATGTAGGTCTGAATGTACAGTAGTTTAGGTAAACTGCTGAGCACGTGCCCCTTGGTTACCATCCCCTCTGGAGGGTCGAGGAGGGCAACAGGACCAAGTCTTTGAGAATGGGAACCATGGGTGCTAGCGTGGGGTGACAGCAGTGACTATAGTAGATGTTAGCTATTATTTTTTTTTCCAAGAAGTGGTTTGTCTTATAGATTAGTTGGTAAGTGTATATTTTTCTGTTATGGGTACTAGCAGTGATATAAGGGACCCTGTTTTTTGCAGAAAAATACTCCAGAGAAATAAGTTCATTAAGTACAGAGCAGTTTTAGTCCTGGGGAAACTCACAGAGTGTTTCTTCTCTCTCATACCATCTCTTGGGAAAGTGTTATGGAGGAGATAGTAGCTAGCCTAAGCAATAAAATGGACAAATTTAGCAGAAGGAAGGGTGTTACAAAAACCAAAGACAATGATGGACTTCTTGCCTTATTTCTTTACATCTTACATTTAAGCACGATGTTAATTATGAGAACCAAATTTAACATAGACTTGGTCTGTAGATTTATTTCCAATAATTTATTTCTATTTTTTTAAAGATTTTATTTATTTCTTTGAGAGAGAATGAGAGAGCACATGAGAGGGGGGCGGGTCAGAGGGAGAAGCAGACTCCCCGCCGAGCAGGGAGCCGGATGCGGGACTCGATCCAGGGACTCCAGGATCATGACCTGAGCCGAAGGCAGTCGCTTAACCAACTGAGCCACCCAGGCGCCCTTATTTCCAATAATTTAAATAGCAAGAGAAAAAGCTCCATAGTTAGTTGGTAGATTGAAAGTAATGTTATAAAAATAACCTTTATTTTTCTCATCGCAGATGTTAAACACGTTCATAGAAATTTTGGAAAAGAGATAGGAGCATATAAAGAAAGTAAGAATCCACTCTTATCCCTTCACCTTGGGAGAACCATTGGTAACTGTGTAGTGTATAGCTTTGCACAATTTTTTCAATGTATATAAACATATTACCTCACAAAATTGGGATTAGATTTTAAATACCTAAACTATAAAGAAAATAGCATCTTTGTTTTTTGTGTGTGAGGTTGTTTAGTGATTATCTAAAATTTCTGAACTCTGAGGGTCATTCAGAATTCCACATAGATACATACTGGTCTCATTGCCCAGAGTTCTACAGGGTTCTAAAGGCTGCCCTCCCATCCAGGTACTAACCAGACTACCCTCATGCAGCTATCCATAAAAGATAAATGGGAGGGGCGGCCCGGGTGGCTCAGTTGGTTAAGCATCAAACTCTCAATTTTGGCTCAGGTCCTGGTCTCAGGATCGTGAGATCGAGCTCCACATTGAGCTCCTCGCTCAGTTCGAAGTCTGCTTGAGATTCTCTCTCTTCCTCTCCCTCTGCCCCCCCTTAAAACAAAAGATAAATGGGAAATACGTCAGAGGTCAATTTAAGGGCTCCTTCTTTTATAGAAGAAAAAACTTTTAGTTAATGCTTTATCCAACAGTGAAGACTTTTGTCAGTGGACTGTAAGCTCAGGAATCTTGTTTTATCTCCTTAATCCTTGCACACGCCTGGTATATAATATGTACCGAACTATTGAAGTATTTGTTGAGTAGAGAAATAAACCAGAGTTAAATCTAATAATGTGGCTGGTGAACCAATCATAATACTGAAGCACTGAGCAGTTTCAAGAAGGAATATTACCAACAGGTAAAAATCTTAGCACGAGTTATCTTCATTACAACCGTGATGGGACTTTGAAGAGCATTAAGTACATTGCCCAGGTTTTTGACAATAGGCGGTTTCCTTTCTACTTCATATAAGTGTAGTATCTCCGGGTATGCAGAATAGATGTCTGATATTAGGTATACAGGGGTGGCTGTTTTAACCACTCACCACCAATTTAAAACAAATACATTTTGGGAGGCCAGTGTATTGCTCTTTGAGTTAATTCTTTCTGACCATTCTTTCCTATTCCATTACTTTTATCCCTTCCTGCTGGATTAATTCATTCTTTCAACAAATAACTATTGAGTGCCTATACTAGATGCCAGGCACTACTCCGCATGCTGGAGATACAGAAGGGAAGTAGATCTCTAAAATTCTCTGCCTTCATGGAGGGGAAACACACAATAAAAAAATAAATGTATCATAATGAGTTCAGGTATTGATAAGCACTATGAAGAAAATAAAACCAGAGCACAGTGGAAGAGAGTGGTCCTCCTCCCCTTTAGTGCAGCCCTAGATCGGGCAGGTGCACTTGGCAGGCCCAGGGAACGCAGCGCGCCTCCGGCCTGGCCCGTTAAATGGGCTGTGGCACCTAATGCTAGACTTTTCCGGAATAACACTGTCTATGCCGAAGGGCTTTCTAGTCAAAGCCGCCGTGTGGTGACAAGCACATAGAGCAGAGAAGACCATATCCTTAAGCTGTAGATTACATAAAGCTCTGCCTACTTCTTTGAAGATGTTGAACTCATCAGAAGATATTAGCTATCACTAAAGGTTGTATGTAAAGTACATTATCAGCCAAATTAAAGGGCGGGTGTCCATGGTGGGTTGTAACAAATGTGTCGCATGGATTAGAAAATGATCACAATGGGAAAGATGCAAAGTATGCTGTATTTGTTTATGTTGTTCATATTAAAATCAAACTCAGAGACCAGATTTGAAAACTCCCTGAGTGGACAAAACCAGTTTAGTCTTTTTTTTTTTTTTTTTAAAGATTTTACTTATTCACTTGAGAGAGAGAGAGAGAGAGAGCGAGCATAAGCCAGTGGGGAGAGGCAGAGGAGAAGCAGACTCCCAGAGTGGGGAGTCCAACACGGGGCTCGATCCCAAAACCCCAGGACTATGACCCAAAGGCAGATGCTTAACTGACTGAGCCACCTACGTGCCCCCAAACCAGGTTAGTCTTACAATTTAGCTTATTTTGCAAGACAAGTAAGGCTAACTTGATCCGGGTACTTCCTGCTTAGGCCTCTGAAAATCATAAGCAAGACTTAAATTGTTTTCCCAAAATTAATATGAGGTGATCACTAACCAATTCCCTTCCATTTAAGAGAATTCCAGTATTGTAAGCAATCACTGTGAAGAATACACAGTCCCTGCATCTGCACTGTGTAAGCTGTTACCTAACATATACCTCGAGTTTCATTCTGTGTTTTTGTCTGAGTGCTCTTGGTTTGCAAACGATCTTTTTGATGTATGCACAATAAACTTTTACTGATTACTACTTTACTGATTCATTGGTTTTACTTCTGTTTTTTTCTGAACTTTTGACAGCTTCTCTTTTAAATTCTTTTCCACATAGACAGATTGCCTTTTGTAGGGCCCTGAGTTTTATTCAGTTCTGTAAACTCTGGGGCTCACCTCTGAAGTAAAAAAAGATTATCAATAATAAATGTAGAACCAAGGATTTAAAAATATTTCAACATACAACACGTTGCTTCCAGAGTAGGTCTGCTGTATTATTCCAGCCCTAGTGAGTAATTAATGCCTTGAACTATTCCAATCACCACGGGTTGCCAGGCCACCAAATAACGAAGCCAATCAAGGATTTGTCCATACAGAAAGTGTGTGCGCTCCCAGCTAAATCTCAGTTAAGGAGGTTGCTCTCTATGCAGTCAAGTAGCAGAAATATTCAATCTCATTTGCAAATATAATAAGCAATGCAATGAGTGGTTATTTCCTTTCTTGTTAATTCTATGTGCTCATATAAAAGCCCCTTCTGTGATTTTTATAGCATTTGGTTATCATTGTTATTTACACTACACCGAATTTCCAAAAGTAAATCAAAACAGTTTACAATAAAATCCCAGACTATGAAACAAGAACTAAAGGTGAGGGTCGCTACTAAAAGAGTGGGAAAGGGGAAATGGCTACACTGGAAAACCAAGGATCATGGAAGCTTTTGTAAGTGAGCCAAGACAGCCTTGGGCTTTCCTGTGATTGGCTCATCAGAGGGAGCGCATTGTGTATTACAAAGAAAAACATCACAGATAAGATATACTTTTTCCTGATTTCACTGATAAATTGTGCTAAGGGGACATAATACATAATATCTCTGATAGCAATGTTATATACATAAAGGCAAATATTCCCCAAGTAGCTTTTTTTTACTGAGTCTCAATAAAAAGAGCACATGTAATACTCAAAAGTTTGTTCTCTCAAGACCATATAGAGTAACCCATTGTCCTTTGTTATTTACATGATCGTTTATGGTGACATTCAGGATTATATTATCAATTTTATAACAACGATGCATATATTTTCGCTTCATAATGTATTAACCAAAAGTGGTTCTGGGCTCGGTCTCCTCATATTAGAAGGGAACTTCAGGGAGGGTGCATGAAAAGGAGGGAGGGAGAAGCATCACACATCCATCATTAGCCGTTAGGGGTGGTTGTGCTTGAGTTGCACTGACTCCCTGAGAAAGCTCAGGCCTGTACATGGAGCTGGGGGCCGCAGAGGGGCTCTCTGTTGCCGCCCCCTAAGACATAGAGACCCATGGTCCTGCTTCCACGGCTGCCCTAAGGGCAAATCTTTCCTTGATCTGCAGTTCTCAGGGATGGGGGCACTGCTGCCAACAGCCATGGTTACACCTGTATATTTAGGGTTGGTGAAGAGTAGGGGGAGCAGGGAACAAGGGAGGTTTCTCCTTTAGCACTGAAAAATGTAGCTGACCGGTACGCAGAATGTATAGAAAGGCTGGCTGTCTCTTAGGAGAAGAGAGAGTACTTGGTAGGTTGACGCCAACCTCTCATTGTTTTCTGCATGAGGTCGGGATATGTTTTAATCCCATTTACTAACCACCCCCCCACCCCCCGCCCCAAGAGATATATTATGGTCTTGGGCCAGCGGGGTTGAGGACTAAGTCTTTGTTAATCAGCTCTGGATGGGGCCATTGAGGCTTCCTGTGGACTCAGTTGGAGAACATTGGTGTCTATTAAAATCCTGATTGTTGCCATAAGCTGTCCGTAGGTCCTCATTTTCTTTCACTATTATTATCCCTAGGGTGTAACCCAAGACAAGATGAGGCATGCCAAGGAATTTAAAAGGCCAAAATACAGGGGGTAAAAAAATCCTCTCTCTGGAAACAATAAAATTTAGTACACCTTAAAAATTTTTTTCTCTACTAGTTCACATTTGGGGCTTTTAAAATTTCAATTCCAGGGGCACCTGGGTGGCTCGGTTGATTAAGCATCTGTCTTTGGCTCAGGTCATGACCTGGGGGTCCTGGGATCGAGCCCTACCTCGAGCTCCCTGCTCAGCAGGGAGTTTGCTTCTCCCTCTCCCTCTGCTGCTCCCCCTTCAAACCTCCTCTATGCTCACTCTCTCGCAAATAAATAAATAAATAAATAAATATCTTTTAAAAAATTTCATTTCTATTCTAGTCTATATGTTTGTCTACCCACCCACTCATCCCATCCACCTGTCATCCATCTATCTGCCTGCGTACCTATCCATCCATCCATCCATCCATCCATCCATCCATCCATCCATCCATCATCTATTTATAGATCTATCATCCATCTATCTGATCCTGCCATATATTTATCTATCTCTTGCAACATCCCATCACATTTCCACTAAAGCGCTTATAGAGTAGAATGTATCTTCTTTGGCATTTAAGTTCCTAGCCAGAGTAGTAACATGGGCCCAGGGGAGAAGAGACCAGGAAGTCGTTTTGAAATAAATGGCTAGGGAAAACAAATATTTCTGCTAAAACTGTAATGAAGAAAATGAAAATACAGATTGAAGAATGTATTACCAGGAACATTTAAGATAATACTTCAAACTTTTTTTAAAAAAAGGATACGGGTTACTGATCATCCTCTTCAAATCAACCTTCTCTTTGCAGTAAGGGCAAGTCTGCTTTTTACCAACTATACACCAACCTCGGATGCAGAATTCGTGAAAGCTTAGGCATCTTGTTAGGGAAATTTCTAGATATTAAAGGGCAAGGTCTGCTTCATGATGGCATAATGGAAATGACCCCATCTGCGGGGAGGAAGTCGAGGGTGAGAATGGCTGTCAGTCGTGACTTGATTGTGCACATCACTATCTAAGGAAGATTCTGCAGGAGGATGGAACCCTCAAGGACTGGGAGCTTTCAGTCAGAGCTGCCATAGCTTTAGGACCCTGAGGAGTCTATACAGCTCCTTGGCTTTACTTGTTCTTCTTGCTTCACTTGATCCTCCCAAGATTTAAAAGTAGATAAAGAATATGAAAGTGCTTTTTTTACAGTAATATTTTATGTAAATGTATCATGGCATTTCTCTGCCTCTCTGATTGTGCTCTTCTTATGCGTTCACCGTAGCATTTCCAGGTTCTACTTTCTGTGCATTATTCATTACCTACTATGTAATCAGACTTGTCCTAGGCACTTAGACAGGCTTCAGTTATTTGTAGTCATAAACCGCAAACTTAACGGCTATTTCTGTTAGCTTCATAAGTCCTATCTCAAGTTTTTTTTTTATTACTGGTAAGGAGTCACTTACTTTTAATAGACTATGAACCTAATAAAATTCTGAAACTCTAGGCATTTACAGATTCATTTGTATATCTCGCCTTGTCTGCAGAGTTTGACCCTTTGCCCCTAAAGTTGAGAGCGCATCCCGCATCCCGTGTTTTCCCACAGCAGCAGGGGAATGCTCCTATTAGAGCTCATATCACATTGTATCATGACATTCCATGAGCATCCACGTCTCTTCTGGACCACTGGCTACCTATGGGACCATGTCTCTTTCTTTTCTGTCCTCAACACCTTAAGCAGTGCCTAAGGGCCTATTTATTAAATAAATATTTGAATGAATCACTCAAAACCAATTACTTTTGCAAATATATTTTCTCGGGTTCCACAACATTGTAGATTTGAGCAAAGTGATTAACAGTAATGAGATCCATCCTACTGGTGTATTTATTTCTACAGTTGTTGATCCCAATGTGGCTTTCTGGATCCAGATCACATGATTTTTCTGACTGGCCTGCTGTCGCCCATGTGAACAGCAATGATGAAGTCTCCTCCCTAACAAATGGAGGACTGTGAAGTGTAGACAAGTCAAGGCCATGTATGTAAGTCCTCAATATAGATCTGTCTGCAACTAAGAGTTTCCACTGTTTTATGTTCTTGGAATTGGGTCATTTTTGCAATAGGCTTGAATGAACATAAAGGGGTGTATTATAGCAAAGATTTTAAACCCAAAGCCCTTACAGCCCTTTATTCAAAAGGGCTGGAGTACAGCCCCATCTTCTAGACAGGTAGAGAGGTCAGGGGTCATGGAGACAGCATTGAAATGTCCACCTCCTCTTTAATATTCTCTGTCTCATCTTCAAAATCTCGATGCTGAAAAGTCTCCAAGCTAGCAGAATTGCTGCAGAGCAATATTCAGATTCCTTCCCCTGCCCCACCTTGTTAATATGAGTCATGTTTTCCCACTCCTTGCTCATATGACTCATGCTAAAGTGGGCCATTAATAATACTCCCTGCAAAGCAAATTTAAGGGTGACTACATTTTAGATTACATATGCACACATGTACAACAATCCCTAAGCGCTTTTAAAGGTGGAGAGAGAAAATATTTCCACTTGCAAATGGCAAAAGGGGCACTGGTCCAACATTTGAAAAGTAAATCACGTTTAAAACTAGGACCAGATTTGGAAAATTTCTTCCAAAGAAGGATAGTTTTTTGGGAAAGGTATCACACTGAAAAACCACCACAGAATTCCATGTGGGATATCTTTGTGTTTCTTATCTTAAAATAGTAAGGCTTAAATGTTGGAGTAAGGGGTCCTATTACATTTCAGATGCATTCAGTCCATTTTTTACCTCTCAGGATTGAATAAATGCAATCTGTCCAGATTAAATCATAGGCACTGCCCGTCTAGAGTGTTACTGAGTTAGGTGGGCTTCAGAGGCGAAAGACAGGTGGCTTAACAACCTCATGATGCCAGAACTTTGAACTGAGTGTAGAGCAACATTATCAAATTGATATTGACTATAAAATAAAGATAAACGACACCTTCTTTCCCCTGTATTTACAAAAGAATTAAAATACCAATTGTCTGCCAACCCAAACACGACTTTGGTCTCCAGAATTATATGCTGGGGCAGCATGGGCTGCTTGGCCTGGGGCTCATGATCCCAGTATCTTTCCACATATTGAGGTCTTCCTCCACAGTTACTGGAATTCCCAAAGAATGCTAGTTTCCAGGCCCAGGCTTGTCTGGTTCCTAACACCTAAAGATCCATCAGCCATTTGGGGCAGAACTCACAGGCAGAGGAGCCAAATGGTCCAAGAACTGGCTGCTCAAGATTTGGGCCCTCCTTCTGTAATCAAAGGTATCCTGCTGCCTATGGCATTGTCTTCTTTCCAAGACCGACGCTGATACTTGGCTGCCCCCACTACCACTGTGGACACAAGCACGTTCCCGGGATTATTTCCAGGCACAATCTGTTGTTCAGTCCTGTGAGATTCAGACCCAGGCTCCACCTGGAGAGTCCTGAGTTCCTCCCTGCACCCGAAAATCCACTTTTTCTCACCCCAAACCCTTCTCTCCCTGGTTCTTCTTGGCTATCTGTTCACTTACGGCTTTGCTAACTTTCCCAGCCAGAGTCTCGGGCACACGCTACAGCTTTTCTAGTCCGTATGGCTTTAAGATTCGGTTTTAAAAATGCAATTACTAGCAGAAGAGTAGCCGTTCATTATTCGGCAGGGATTATCAGAAAGTCTCAACAAGAGAGATGGCGGAGGATCAAGGCCTGGGGTTTGGGGGATAGGAGCTAGCTCAGCAAGGCAGAGGAGATGCTGAGGCGGGGAGGAGGAAAAGGAGGAGGGGGAAAGGGTGAGTTACCAACTCCCGTGATCAACACAGTGTATGTGAAATTGCCTCCCATCACTGGCTTGATGAAGCCCGTATGGCTTCCTGTGAAAAGGATACACATGATTGCATGAGAGCTGGTAGGTGTTCTCAGTGAGCCCTTCTTCATCGAGCTGCACAATGATCTGCCCACAGACGGCACAGACGTTGTCTGACAAGCTCCTCGTGGGCATCCCACTGATGCTGTAGAACTGTTGGGGAAACGCACAGAGAGCTGTTGGAAAAGAAGGCACATACCATTCCTTCTCTGAACACAGGGAAGCCACTGAGTCTGTGCTGCTTCTTCCTTGGGTTAGAACTTGAAACACTCTTCTCCATAGGAATGCTTCAGTGGGGTCAGGGTCTCCAGGCAAGAACCCACTGAACCCCACATGGACCCAAAGCACATGGCTAACTACGACCTCCAATTCAACCTCCCCAATGAAGAATCCTTCAAGGGGAAAAGTCTTTTATCCAGGGCTGTAGTTCAGAGCTTTTTAAGGAAGCTTTTTAAGCTTACCTATAGCCTGACCCTTTCTCTTATTTTAGAGATTGGTGCACAGGTCTGGAGTAAGCTGAGGCATCGCTATATTTTTTAATTCCCATGTGATGAGAAGGAGCACACAGACTAACCCCATTGGGTGCAATGCTTTTAGAATTCTAACTTGGGATACCTGCATCTTTCTAGTACGGAGGATGAAGAATGATTCCAATATTGGCAGCACATTAGAATCCCTAAGAAGCTTGCTTTTTAAGATTATTTATTTGAGAGAGAGAGAGAGTACAAACAGGAAGAGCAGAGGGAGAGGGAGAAGCAGACTCCCTGCCAAGCAGGGAGCCTGACATGGGGCTGGATCCCAGGACTCTGAGACCATGACCTGAGCCAAAGGCAGACGCTTAACCCACTGAGCCACCCAGGCGACCCTAGAATCCCTAAGAAGCTTTGTTAAAAAAAATAAATATTCATTGAATAATTGTTTTAGACTTAAAGAAAAGCTATGAAGATAGTGCAAGCCCCCATATACCATATACCCCATGTCCCCTATTATTAACATCTTACATTAGTATGGTAACTTCGTCACAATCAACGAACCAACAGTAACACTTACTATGAAATAAAGTACATACTTTATACATACTTTATTCAGATTACGTAGTTTTTTTTTTTTTTTAAGTCTAATGTCCTTATTCTGTTCCAGAATCTCATCTAGGATACCATGTAGGCTCCTCTTGACTATGGTGGCTTCTCAGACTTTGCTTTTTTTCAATGACTTTGACAGTTTGGGGGAGTATTCTGTGGAATGTCCCTCAATTGGAATTTAGCTGGTGTCTTTCTCTTGATGATACTGAGGTTATGGGTTTTCAGGAGGAAGAGAACAGAGGTGACATTCTTACCACACCATAGCGAAGGTACATGCTATCAGTATGACTTATCACTGTTGCTATTAACCTTGACCACCAGGCTTGTGGCAGTGTCTGTCAGGTTTCTCCACTATAAAGCTACTTTTTCTTTCTTTTTTTTTTAAGATTTATTTCTTTATTTGAGAGAGAGAGAGAGAGAGAGAGCACACACACACAGCGGGAGAGGGGGAGGGAGAAGCAGAATCCCTGCTGAGCAGGGAGCCTGACACGGAGCCCTATCAACAGGGGGCTCAATCCCAGGACCCTGGGATCATGACCTGAGCAGAAGGCAGACACTCAACAGACTGAGCCACCCAGGTGCCCCAAAGCTACTCTTTCTTTTATTCCTTCTTTTCTGTACTCTTTGGAAGGAAATCACCATGAGCAGCCCATTCATAAGGAGAGGGCCGTTATGCTCTCAGTGTCAGTGAGGTTTCTCCAGAGAAAAGGACCTGATAGCGTGTGTGTGTGTGTGTGTGTGTGTGTGTGTGTGTGTGTGTTTGTATCTAGACTAGTGTTTGGGTGTTTGATCAAACAATTGAACACCTTAGCCTACCCAAGTTGACACAAAAACCTTAACCATAACCATACAACCATCTTAAGGTTGGAGTACCTACATAAATTATGTGGAATTCTTCTGTGTAGATTTGTCTGTTCTCCTCCATTCATTCATTCATTCATTCACTCATTCATTCATATCAATACGGACTCATGATAATTTATTTTAGACTTGGGGTTATAAGCCAATGCAGCTGCAGCTTCTACTGCTATTACTACTACTCTTTTGTTGCACGGATCGTTCCAGCTTTGGCCATTGGCAGCTTTTTCAGTTGGCTTCTGTATCTTTTTGAATAACCCTCATCATTGTGGTATTTTTTTGTCTGGTTGGTTTTTTGAGCACTTCCTTCACTTCTGGCAATACAAGATACTCCAGGCGCATTTGTATGTTCTTTGCCAAGACCTAGAGTCAACCATTTCTCCAAGGAGCCCTGGTTCCTTTTATTGTAGAATGGTATTAGAAAAGATCTGGGCACAAGGTGTGCTCCTTGCCACAGGGGTTATGTATTTTTTTAAGGAGTATGGCTTCTGGCTTTTGCTGGAGGAAGTAGGAGTGGAAATGTTCCCTCCTGTGCTCACCATAAACATTAGAAAAAAGGCAGTTGTCCCATAGATGACGCATGGCAGAGGAATTCCAAAAAGTAGTTTGTTCTAGCATTTCACCACAGAAGTGGATTCCAGGCTACAGAAAAAGAGTAAGATAGAGCCTACATAAATGGAGAAGGGCAGATGGGATGGGGATGAAGTTAGGGTCATGTCTACTTAGTCTTGCCCCATAAATGGAGAGAGAGAACAGTCCTGAATTATACTCTTCCCTTGCCACTTGCACTAACTTTTCCATTTCATATCTGCTGTGTACCAAGAGACCAGTAGAGGGCAGAGACATGGAATTCTTGACACCACCGGATCATCCCTGGAGCCCCTGTGAGTTTTAGAGATGCGCATGTGTCAGGCGTAGATGAATGCTTCTAATATCTGAATCTGGAATCCATCTAGCCAGAAAGTATGTCTATTTGGAGTTTACTCTTAAGAGAGGTTTTTAAAAAGCTATTAGGGGTATTCTTTAAATTTTATACAGTCAGAATACATTTGGCACAGTTTTTGTATCTTCTACTTCTAATGTATAATGTATAATGATAACTGACCTTTATGAGGAGTAACCCTGAGGCACTGATGGGGTCCAAAGTACTTTATGTGCATCAAATATGACTTTCTGTGTTAGGCAGATAGAAAGGTTTTTACTACTATTAAAATTTTCCTAATCCTTTCCTTTGTTTTTTTTAGAGAGATGGGGGGGCGGGGCAGAGGGAGAGGGAGAGAAAGGATCTAAAGCAGGCTCCATGGCCAGCACGGAGTCCAGTGTGGGACCTGATCTCACAACCCTGAGATCATGACCTGAGTTGAAATCAAGAGTTGGACACTTAACCGACTGAGCCATCCAGGCGCCCCTACTAATCCTTTCAATGTTGGCAATTGGAGTATGCTAGATATGGTTGCTTCCAATAATTATTTTATTTAAAAAGAGGTCTTTGGGGGCGCCTGGCTGGCCCAGTCAGTAGAGCATGTGACTATTGACCTCAGGGTTGTGAGTTTGAGCCCCCTGGTGGTGTAGAGATGACTTAAACATAAATAAATAAATAAAAAGATGAGATGCCTTATTTCCCAACCACTTTATATACATAAGAAGTATATTTTTTAATCAATTAGCAAAGATAATTTTTGATGCAAGGAGAATCAGGGAGCAGCTGGCCTGGGAGAACCAAAAAAGATTGATGTATTTCTGAAAACGGATGCAAACATGTAAAATGAGACCATTTCTCTGTGTGCTGTAGTGGTTTCAGAGAATGAAAGCAACACTCACCCCTATCGTAGAGGCCATGTAATCCGAACAGATCTCTGCAAAGTCTCTCCCCATTACACCATAGTAGAGGCCATAGAACAAGGATACGATGCCAAAATCCATGGAATCTCTAGCCTTGATTCTATTGAAAAGGACAGTGTAAGGTAAAATAAGAACGTGGCAGTTGGGGGGCTCGGGAAGGGCTGCAGCTTAGAGGACATTTCCTGCCAGGGTATCTAACAGAAATTTGATTACTTGATTTAAAAAAAATTTTTTTTAAAGAATTTTAAATTCTCTAAATTCCCCTCAGATTTTACTACTCAGTGGCAAGTGGACAAAGTAATTCTTGAGAGGGCCTTCTAACTAGTGGTTCTCAAGCTGGGCTGTGCAAAGAAAGGCCTGGGCAGCTTATAAAACTGTACTCCCTGAACCCCAGACCAATGACATCAGACTCTCTGGGGGTGAAGCCTGGGCAGCAATATTTTTGGAAGCTCTCCAGAGCCAGGTGATTCCAGTGGGCAGCTAACCTTAAGAACCTCTTTAATAGAGCAGTGGTTCTCAGCCTTCAACGTAGATTAGAATCACCTGGGGGAGATTTAAGACTGCTGATCAGGAGCTGAACTGTAAGTGGCCTGGGGTGGGGTCTGCAGAGCAGTGCTTTTTAGAAGCTCCTCAGGTTGGGAATCCCTGCTATCAAACTTAGATTTTACAGAAGGCTTTCAAATACTTTACTTCCTTAACAAATGCTGGAGGTAGATAGGATTATCCCCACTTTGCATTTGAAAAAATGGAGATTTAGAAGAAATGATTTGCTTAACATGACATTTGGTACTAGGGCTCAAGCTCCAATTTTGAGGCCCTTGGCTACTGTGCCGTAGTTGCCATGTATTAATCAGAAAAAAAATTTTGCAAGTTGGATCATATTTCAAATATAATAGGATTCTCTATGATAACCCCCACCCCATTTTTTAAAAAAGATTTTATTTATTTATTAGAGAGAGAGAGAGAGAGCACAAGCAGGGGAGGGGCAGAGAGAGAGGGAGAAGCAGGTTCCCTGCTGAGCAGGGAGCCTGGGATCATGACCTGTGCTGAAGGCAGACGCTTAACCCACTGAGCCACCCAGGCGCCCCATCCCTCTCCATTTTTAAGGGAAATATTTCTTTAAGAAGTGAACAATCAGGGGCGCCTGGGTGGCTCAGTCGTTAAGCATCTGCCTTTGGCTCAGGTCATGATCCCAGGGTCCTGGGATCGAGCCCCGCATCGGGCTCCCTGCTCAGCGGGGAGTCTGCTTCTCCCTCTCCCACTCCCCCTGCTTGTGCTCTCTCCCTCTCTGTGTCAAAAAAAAAAAAAAAAAAAAAAAAGAACAATCAGCCCCTAATGTAATTAGCTCCTAATTTAATGAATCTTAATCATTGTACATATGGTTTGTTATATCTGTCACAGTTTCAAATATTAGCTCTGCGCCCGGGGTAGATCTGATTGAGTCAGGCAGCAAGTGAGAAGTGGAGGGAAGCTGGGTAGTCTGTCTCCGGAAACCTTTTCTGGTTGTTCTGTGCTCTGTTAACTTGAGGAGGAAATGGTAAAGGCAGAGAGCTTTGTAGACTTCGAGGTACAGATCTTTTGGTGATGTGAATTGGGAATTCTAACACAAATGATGGCTTTATTCCCTCAAGATTTGCCTGAGTATATTTGAGAACTGGGGCAATGGGGAGGAATGAAGATGATCTTCTCTCCATGTTCAGGGGAGGATGTATTATAATCTAACTGATAAAAAGTATAGTGACAGATTTGTGGTTCCACAGAAAAGAATCTTAAAACAGTGATAGTCAATAACACTAAGGAGTGAAAAAATAGTTCCTTCCCAGCCTGAAGGGTTAAGTTCTTGGTGTGCCTCATTGTAGGAGAAGTCATGGCTAAGGACCTTATGATCTTATGGAAAATAGTCTTGGGACAACTCTAGGCTCAGTGATTTCATAAAATCCTTATGAATATTTTTACAGTCACTAAAACAAAGTTATATAGATGGTATGCTGAAAAAGGAAATCAGTGTCTTTCCATACACAAAATAATATAGAAATCATAGATCTGTACAATTACTTTCTATCCCTTTCCTGCTAGAAAATGGTGGGAGCTCCTGCTCTGAAAGTGACATGAAATGCTTATAAAATCAGTGATGTTGCCATAGGAAGAGTCCTTCCCCTCAGGGCTGACACTCCATCCAATTTCCTTCCCTATTTTATGAGTTAAGGGTCCCCGAGCTCTGCCTTTCAATTTCTGTTAAGGTCCCAGAGACTTAGAGGAACTTCGATGTGAGAGAGATTCTGGGGAGTTTTTTATTTGAGCTGCTTCCCACAGCTGTGTGGTAGGTCGTAAATTCCCTTTCCAGACCACAGGTTGATTACACGGCCATGGCTCTGCCCATGAGAACCTTCAACCACAGCACATCTCAGCAACCATCCTTCTGGTGGGAGCTCTGTTCTGAGTTACAGTTACCCTGATTTCCTTGACTGCTCCCAAGACTTTCTTGCTGTTATCTCCTTACCTCTCACTCAAGTTCTAAGCACTTAGTTTTGTCCTTTTCTGACTGTCCTCAGGAAAAGGGATTTCATGGGTACCAGAAACAAAATTCTAGAGCAGTGCTGTCCATGGCAATACAGAAATATAGATTAAAAATTTCCTAGGGGCGCCTGGGTGGCTCAGTTGGTTAAGCGTCTGCCTTCCGCTCAGGTCATGATCCCAGGGTCCTGGGATGGAGCCCCACATTGGGCTCCCTGCTTGGGGAGCCTGCTTCTCCCTGGCCCTCTGCCTACCGCTCTGCCTATTTGTGCTCTGTTTCTCTGTCAAATAAATAAATAAAATAAAAAAGTCTCCTAGTAGCCACATTAAAAAGAAACAGGAAATAATTTCACCGATACATCCCACTGTAGTTCAACATGTAGTCAATATAAAAATTATTTTTTCATACTTTGAAATCTAGTGTGTATTTTATAGTTGCAAAGCACTTTATTTCATATTTCAGGTGCTCAATGGTCACATGATCTATCATATATTGCACTGGACAGCACAGTTCTAGAGGTTTTAAGAAAGAAGATATATACAAGGAAATGACACTTCAGAATTTTATGGAGGGGAGATTTGTAGTTCAGTAAGAATTACTCTACCACAAATGTAAGCCTAATTTTAATGGCGATCTTTAAAATTTGCCATAGTACAGATTTTCTTTAAAGCTTCTAAACTGTGAAAATTTTTTATTCTCTAGGGTTTCCTCTTATACTTTTCTGGTTGTTTCCACCAATGACATTTACTCTACCAATGATATCTACTATAAACAATGTGGGCATGGAACATCATAGGGCCAAATGCTTCCAGACGCAGAGAATGTGGCCAGGCGAATGTGGCACACACGTGCTTGGAGATATTAAGGTCTTAATCGGAGATACTTACCTGAAAAATAAATTGAATCCACACATTGTAAACATGATGGCCAAATAACCCACAACACCAAATGCATAGCTGAGTTTGTAGATTAGAAGAAACCATTTGTAGACCAATCTGTGGAGTGTAAAATGGGGAGAAATACAGAACATGATATATTATGAAGTATTTTATCTTCCTCAAACATTTTTGTAAGTCAGTTTTTAATTTCTAGAATTCTATTTTTCATGTAATATACACAAGTAGTTTATATCAGCCAAACTCAGTAATAATCTACAGTTTTAATACATCAACAAACTATATAAATAGTATGCACACGCATATACAAATTCATTGTAACATCTATGTTCCTCATGTAAGAGTGATCTTCAGGGATGGTTTCTCTATCTGGTACCCTGCCTCCCCATCTCTTTTTTGGCCCTAGGGTTAGCTTAGAGTGGCTTTGGCAGGAGTAGCTTGGAGGTAAGCAAAAGGTGAGCAGAGAAGTCAGGAGGAGGTGACCTCCTCCCCCAGGAGTTTCTCCCCCTTCCTGCTCCTGCTGCCCCTCCACCCTCCAGCCCCAGGGCAGATGTCATCAGTAGCGAGCTCAGCCTCTCCCAAGCCCTCTCCACTCACAGAGCTCCTCCCCTAGCCCTAGGATGGAATCACGAGTGAGCCTCAGGTTGGTTTTCTCCTGCTATGTGGATGGGTCTTCTGCGTATCCCAGCAGGTACCATGACCACGGTTAATGCCTTTCCTTCTTCCCACGGGGTTGAAATGGAGAAGTGGGAGATTGGGGAGAGAGGGGAAGGGTATAGATGATCTAGAAGGGAGCCCCGCACCCTGTTGGTTTCCCTTATCCCTGTCAGTAAAAGCCCTTAGAAAAACTACAGAAGGGCCCGTGTGGCTGCTTCATGCCTGGGAGGATGTGGGAAGAGGTGGGCAGCCCAGACCCACTGGGCATGTGCCACAGGGCAAGGTTCTGCCCACTGGAACAAGAGGAGGTGGTAGAAGGGGAAGGAGCAGCTGGGTGCTGTCCTTGGTGCCCAGAGAAAAGAAAGGGGTGACTGGACTGTTACTCCCAAGCAGGAGGCCTTGTTTGTCTCTCAGCTCTTTCCCTCTGGTTCTCAGAAGCCCCTGTTCCTGCCTTTCACAACGCTCTTCACTCAGAATCGCACTCCAGAGACTACCACACCTTCTCACCTCCCACCTCTGGAGCCCTGCCTCCAACTCTCTCAGCTCTCCTAGCTTCCTCCCTGTTGGAGCCATTGCTCCAAATGCTTACGCTCTACGATATTACTGATGCAATGTTTCGAGGTTATTTAAAAGATGTCCTGCTTCATTGAATTCCAGTCCGGAAGAGACCTTCTGAAACATGATGCTTTACATGGGAGTTGGTGGGCTGGCTTGAGACACGAGTTGTCATTCACATCATTTCTACGGGTGAAAGGCTTCCCCACTTCAGGCAAGTGGCTAGCAGGGCTATGTGGGCCACGGCTCCACCTCTCCTGCAGGTGTAATCCCGCTCCGCGGGAGGGGTCCGCCCAGGGGAGTTCCGTGGAGCGGGAAACTGGGAAACTCGCAGACACCGCACAAGGTGGGTCAAGGCGCTCTGAGCCCTTTGTCATTTCTAAAAGGGGCCAGAGAGGGTTCTTGGGGGGGTGTCTTTCTGCCACAGTGACTCCTTGGGCTGCTGATCCTTTTGATTTGCCAGTGCCTAGCAGTTTGGATCACTGCTTAGTGCAGCCTGGTGGAGGAGGAAGTTTATGTTGCTAAAAGGGGTGACAGTGGGGAGAGCCGCCAGCTCTGAGAGGGCCTCCCCCTTCCCCCCCCACAGCACCTGCCAACACCAGAGTGGGGGTCCTAGAACTCCACGCGTACTCCAACTCGACCTACCCTCTCTGCACCTTGAGGGGCCCCTCTCAAGGTTGTGCCAGCACCACAGGTGTTCCTGACTTTTTAAACTGCGGGTTTCTCTGTGCCAAGCGATTTGTTGACGTCATGAAGGCACAGCATGATGTTGGGAGCAGGGGTTTTGCATTCTGGTAGTCTTTGGTATGATTCTGGGCTCCCCCTCCCCGTGACTGCCTGTGGGACACTGGCCACCCTCGTCTGGCCATTTTTTTCCTACGATTGCCCCATTTATAAAGTGGAGATGACAACACTAGCTCCTATGGTAGTTCCGAAGGTTGTGTGAGATGATGTATTCATGTGCAAAAGCCTCGGCACAGTCAATGCTCAATATGTCATATAATTATTACAGATGTGTTAGATTTTCCAAATCCCCACCACCCCCAAATCTTCCTGCTTATTGGGGGTACACGTTTCTAGAACACTAGAGTCCAGAATCCCCTTGCTACTTAGATTACAACTGGAAGGCAGAGAAACCAGATTAGTGCTTTAGCCTCCGCAAAGGACAGCTTGGCCTGGAATTGATGTGGGCAAGCCAGGCTCTTTGTGGCCGGTTTGTGGCCTGTTTTTGAGCCTCTGCGGTAGAGAGGAACCTCACTTCCCCTTCTCTGTTATTCTGACCCACAGCGAGGGCTTGATATACTCTGGGGGAGGAACAACCGGGTTTTAAACAACGTCCGTGCAGGGGACCCCTCCCCTTGGGTTTACCTTTGCACCATGCAGATTTGCTCTGACCAGTTTTCCTAGCCTGTAATGAAATCCTGTTTCCAAATGGAAAATACCTAAGAAGTGACTTACCTATAATATGATGATTAAACAAAGATCCATAAAGATCTTTAGGACCTACTACCTCTCATAAACAAGAACTTCTTTATACAGACTGCTTTTCTAGAAGAAATGGGATCTTAATTAGCCTTTCCCATTACTGTCTCTTCAAATGGCGGCTAGGTCTTTCCTTAAACGTTAGTTGGGCGTGTTGGCCCTCAGGCTCTGCCAGGGCTCAGAGCTTGCAGGCAGGAGAAGCTGAAGTGGGTGCACGATGGGCAAGGGCCCCTGGCCATCTGGGATAAATGAGGCGTGGCGTGTAATGAGGCATCATTTGCATATTCCTTGTCATGAAGTTCCTCTGCACTGAATGAGCTGAGATGCACAGAAATACTGTGTTTACTGGGTGATTCATTCTAAGTGGAGAAGTGAACTAGTCTCACTGAAATACAATATAGATTATATCCAGGGAATGAAACAAGTACATTTTGGTTCATCCAAAATTTGGATCACTTTCACAAGTCTTAAATAACTGACAACATTTTTTAAGAAGGAGAAAGTGTGCCATATGTCCATGTGCTGATGGGCAAGCCAGGCCATACCAAAGGCTGTCTAAAACCCCAAACTGGCCAGTTTGGGAGGTCTCCTAACACCACCCCAAAGCTGTTCCCAAAGTGGGATTAAATTAAAATATCAACCTGAATTTATTTGAGTATCAATCTTTTTAAAAAATTACTTTTTTAAGCCCTCTGTACGTCCAGCATGGGGCTTGAACTCATGACCCTGAGATCAAGAGTCACATGCTCTTCCAGTTGAGCCAGCCAAGAGACCTTTGAAGATTAATCTTTATCATTACATTTATTTATCTGATTTCTCACCGTATACTTTTTCTTCTCCAGAGTAGAAGGAAAAGTTGATATTTGTCTCTCCCACATTTTTAGAGGATTAAGAACAAACATCTGAATGGCTAAATACCCATAAAAACATTTCACAGGAGCTTATGATTTATTCTTCAACAAAGATCAAAATTTGACATTGTCCTATTACCATGTAACACTTTACACATTTTCTCTTTATCCTCTTTCAGTTTTATCTAGATTCAGCTTCAGATTTTATCTAGAGAACAAAGACAGTGAAAGCAAAAGTAGGGGCACATTATGAGATTATAAGCACTTTGGAAAGATTTGTAGACAATATGATGGAATTATAGAAATGTCAAGAGGTTGGCAATGGTAATTAAGATGACCATTGGAATATTAAAGCCTCATTTGTTATGAGAGGAATAAGTTGTCCATTGCTTATGATTTATCCGATATAAAATACATAGTTGTTAGAAATACAAACATCTAACTCTTGCTCTATTATAAAATGTGTGTAACCCATTTGCTGGGTTACACAAAATGCTGAAAATAAATATGCAAATAGTGCTCTAGAAAGTTTAAATAATACTTTCACTTCTCTTTCTTCTGGCTTTCATCTGAAGTAATAAGTGTTATAGGTGTGTCTGAGTCTCCATTAAATAATGAACGTGAACTAACAGCAGTATAGCTAATCTCTAGTTTTGCTACTGAAGGCAAAAGAAGTATAATGCCCTCCTTCCCCACCCGGGAAAATGGAATTAAAATATACTTCTTAGTGCTTACAATAAAGAGGATGTCAGGGAAGGGACGAATGGAATACATACCTTGGTGTTTTCCCTGAGAGCGGTTTTCGGGTAGCTTTGAAGAGGATGTAACTGGTAATAACAGAGAACATTCCCCACATAGACAGAAACCGCCACCAGTAAAGCTTTATCGTGAAATAGAGAGGGACAACCCACATCTGCAACAGTGTCACCAGCTGTCAGAAAAATGAACAGAAAGTCTCTTTCAATGACTGAGGGCCCAGAATGTGAAGTCCACTAGTAAATGATTCAGAAGCTACTCTGGGGAAACCACCTCTACCATACCGTCTATAGCATGGAACTAGCTCACCATCCAGCTATATAAGCTCTTCTATACTTGCAAAGTTTTGGAGGGACTTGGTATGATCCTCTGAAAATTCAAATGGGAAAGAACCCAAAATATTCTTTTTTTTTTTTTTTTTTACCTCTTTCTGCCTAGATATTTCAGATGAAAGCAACTCTGGGCTTCAAAAGCTAAGTGACTTTGGACAAATGAGCCTCACTTTTGTTGTAACATAGGGGATAACAATGCCTGCCCTGCTTGCCTGTGCTGACTCAGGTGGGGATCAAAACCATCACAGATGAGAAAGTGCTCTGGAAACAGTATGTAATACAGGGAGCCAAGCGGCTGTTTTTTCTATCATGGGCACATGTACAAATGCACAGTGATGTCAAAGGAGGAAGTGACGTCACAGCAGCTTCTGGAACCTCTTTTGCCTGCTACCCCAGTGCATCCTGCAGGGTTAACCCTGGAGTCCCAACTGTGGGACCGCCTCACCCCCCGGACTATTCGATATGCAGCCCATCTTTTTGTTTCTGACCTTTCCTTTTTAGGTTACTGGTGCCTCTTCCAGGCAAGCCAAGATGTGGAACAGACTCTTTCCTGTTCATCTGTGTGTAACTCCTTGCAGCCTGTACCACTGACCTGAGTGCGAGCGGCCTTCAGAGGGTTAAGTTGGCTGGCCCCAATCCCATGTGGCAGAAACAGGAGGGACTGAGCTGCTGGCTCGTGGGTCAACTTGATATGGTCACCACAGTGACACACCCAATTCCTTAGATCAGGCTGAATACCAGCTATCACCTCTCTTGTGAAAAGCAGCTAGGTTTAAACAATAGCCAAAACCTAAGATCTTTTATGTTTGGTCACATGCAGACTAAGCGCCTATGATTTGCTCAGCACCAACATACGAGGGAGATGGCAAAGAGGGTTTGTCTCAGGTGCAGACGTTCGTTGGTGGTGGCACCGGGCAATGCTCTGCTGCGGAGGATTCTGAACCCCGGGGCCTGGTGTAAAGAGTACCATGATTGGTTAATTATGGCTGCCCGTGAATGTGGAAGGAGTTGTTAGAGCATGCATTTCATACATTTGTCATCTGAGTAGAACAAAGACTGATGTCATTTTTAAAAATCTTTTATTATTTTTATTACGTTCTTCGTCTTTGTGATAAAAGGAGGCAGCTTAGAAAAAAAAAGCCTCTGGATATATTTTTGGGTCCTTTAATAAGGTCTCGGTTGTAATAGCCTTAAGGTCAAGAACCAAAATTATGTGATAAGACTTCAAGATGTCCATGAAAAAGAAAAGGCCACAGCCATTCCTCTTTCCACATCAAATAAGAAGACATTTCTGAGGTTTTTCATTTTTTTATTGCTTCATCCCCATAAACGACCTGATCTGAAGTCTTTTGAGAGTTGCCCTAAATCTTTGGGAGAACACTAGGGTTGTTACTGAACATATGCACTTGAACAAAATTACACATGGAACCAATCTGAGGGGACTATCTGGAGAGTTTGTGGGAGAAAATATCCCTATAACCTCCTTTTTTTGTTTTCAAATTCCAGGCAGGACTTTCAGGGAAGAGTATTCTTTACTCTGGCCTGAATTAGTCAGATGCAGACATGCCTCCTTTCATCAAGCTTCACAGATACTGTGTTCCTACAAATGCAAGGTTTGTGGCAATCCTGCGTCCAACATGTTTCCAGCAGCATTTGCTCGCTTTGTGGTTCTGTGTCACATTTTGGTAAATCTGGTGGCAACATTTCAGGCCTTTTCATTATTATATTTGTTACGGTGATCTGTGATCAGTGATTACAACTCACTGAAAGCTCAGGTGACAGCATATTTTAGCAATATTTTCTAATTAAGGTATGTACATTTTTTTTTAGACGTAAGGCTATTACACACTTAATAGACTACTGGATAGTGTGAACATAGCTATGATATGCCCTGGAAAACCAAAAAATTCATTGGACTCGCTCTCTTGCGATACTTGCTTTATTGTGGCAGTCTGGAACCGAACCCACTGTATCTCTGGGGTACGCTTGTAATTGCTTTAATTTTCCACCCTACCTCGTGAGTGTGGTTATAGTGAATACATGAGTTAGCACCTTTATTTATGAAGTCAAGATGAATATATATCTAAAGAGGACAGACAGGCTTTAAGTAAAGAAGTAGAAGACTGTTCCTGAGGGCCAGAAACCACATACTAAGTAAGACTCAACACAGACCTACTTTAGCACTCAGCACTAGCAACTGTGACCCTCTGCTCTTGATAGTAAAGGTGTGTGGTGCCTTAAAAGAAGATCACACCAGTATTTGGGTCATTTATTTCCTATAGCTGATTTTGGAGATAGTTATCTATGATAAATGATATGTTTTCTGGCTTTTTTAGTTCATTACTTCTGATATTAAAAAAAGAAAATGGACATGAACTCCATCTTTCAAAATCTGATCATCTGTCTTTTGCATTTTTCATCTTTCTGTCTTAACAGTTCGATTCATCTTGAGCTCAGAGTACTGTATGTAGGTGATGAATCATTGAATTCTACACATGAAACCAACATTGCACTGTATGTTAACTAACTAGAATTTAAGTAGAAATTTGAAAAAAAAACAACAACCCAATTTGATTCATCTTTACATTTCCCCCATTAAAATCCTGAATTTTTAAAAAATAATGAGTCAGTTCATTTTAATTCAGCAAACTACCATGCCTCTGTATTTTATACTTTAGATCATAAGCCAGAATAGACAAGACTAATACATTTCCTCAAATCCATGGAGTTATTATAATCTATAATATTTTGGAGCAATGATTGGATTATATTTTTATAATACTAGTTCTCCTTGTGATTCTATAAGTACAACCCATTTCTAGGAGATCCCAAATTTCTCTTGATGCCTGGGTTTAATTAGCAGTGAATAACAATGTTCAAATGTATACAAACAGTACTTTTTAAAAATAGGCCCAAGAGATCAGAAATAATAGAAAAGCAAAAAACCATTATATCAGGAATGCAAATATGTAATTTCTTAACTATCTTGAAAGTGCCGTATTTTCTCAACACGTAAGGGGGAAGGTCAGAAACGTGCATTATGAATTCAATAATTGTAGAGGTTCAATAATTGTAGAGGTCATTTTGAAATGAGGGCCACATTTCATATCAGTTTAAAAGATTCTTTATCAATTTCCAGAGCAGTTAAAACTTTTCCTTTTTAATATCAACTGCCACATATGAAATGTAGGAATTTGGTGCCTCATAAATAACTACACAAAATATGTGAAATCGAGGTGCATGCATGCAAAGGAGGAGGCCTGGCAGCTGGGACACATTAATAATGCCAGAGGGGTCACCATCTGGGCATGTGCATATAAAACACAGCTGCATTCCTGGGAAGGGCAGCCTGTGCATCTGGATCACATCACCAAATGTTCTCCCCACCCACACATTGTGGCAGAGGAATTTCCTGACGAATCAGATGCTGCCCAAAGGTACCATGCTTTTTCTTGAAGCTAGGCACATAACGATTCTGAAAAGAATAGCAAATCAGTTCAAAACAAAGATAGCTTTTTATTTGCCTAATTATACAGAATGATGAATGGATCACACAACATAAAAGAGAGAGAGAGAGGGAAAGGGAGGGAGGGAGGGAGGAGAGAGAGAGGGAGACAGAGAGAGAAGGAGGGAGGGAAGGAGGGAGGAAGTTATGTGTTGCTTATTTCCTTTGCACTGCAAATCCCTAAGTATTTGCAGCCATTTGTCCATGTGTCTTTGTGTATTTGCATAGGTGCAGATGGAGCAAAGAGCAAGGAGATGCCAGAGGTAAGCAGAAAATTATCATGTAAATAAATGACTCCAGGAAATACTGCCGCTATTATTAGTACAAAGGCAATGAAGGAGTGTGGACATAAATCAAACAAGTAAAAGGATGGAATCTTGTCACAGGAAGGGCCATTAGAAATTCACTTGGTTCTTACTTCTACCTTCAAATCAATTCAGACTATTGATTTTGCTCTTTAAATTCTTAAAGGAGATTCTGCAATGTTATGTATGTATGAAACTCTGTATGTATTTGTGTGTTGCCTCATATGAAAAAGACTCAGGCAGGCATAAGGCTTTACTGGTACAGTAATATGTTCTACTGTTTCACAGCTATTAATAGGCAGGAAGTTGATTTAAATAGAGCAATATTTCAATCTGTGGCAAATTATTTGCCTGTATGTTGAGGCAAGTTAACAGTGCGTCTGAAGCTCAAATTCTGTGTATGGAGTCATCAGGCCTCCTCTTGATTTGAAGGGAAGTACAAGGATTCTTTTTTGGCACCTTCCCCCTATTTCCTGCAGATATGGAAAGCAGGATATAAAAAAGAAGGTGGAGAGGGTGGTGTTGAGTGAGATTTTATTTTTTAATTAAATGCTGTTAAAAGCATTTAGAAAGCTTTCCCGTCTGGGCTGCCGACATGCCATCCAGACTGAATAAGACCCAGAAACTTCGGGGCCACGTGAGCCACAGCCACGGCCTCATGGGCAAGCACCGGAAGCACCCAGGAGGCCGGGGTAATGCTGGTGGCATGCATCACCACAGGATCAACTTCGACAAATATCACCCAGGTTACTTTGAAAAAGTTGGCATGAGACATTACCACTTAAAGAGGAATCAGAGCTTCTGCCCAACTGTCAACCTTGATAAACTGTGGACCTTGGTCAGTGAGCAGACACGGGTAAATGCCGCCAAAAACAAGACTGGAGCTGCTCCTATCATTGATGTGGTGCGATCAGGCTACTACAAAGTTTTGGGAAAGGGAAAACTCCCAAAACAGCCTGTCCTCATGAAGGCCAAGTTCTTCAGTAGAAGAGCAAAGGAGAAAATTAAGGGTGTCGGGGGCACCTGCATTCTAGTAGCTTGAAGCCATGTTGGGGGGGTTCATTAAATGCTAACAAGTGCTTTAAAAAAACGCATTTAGAAATAATTTAACTCTAAGGTTCTGCCATGTCCACACCATATCAACACTATGATCAGAAAAGAGAAAAATTCAAATATCCAGATGCTCTGTCTATATTGTACTAAAACTGCGACTATTTGGTAACATCCAGGTATTCAGTAGTATTCCAAACAAAATAAGAATTTTCTACTTCTGATCTACTTTCTCTCTTCACTTTTTGACATCACGTAGGAGCAGTTAATGTTGTACTTTTAAACTGTTTTCTAAATAACCTTTTGCTTTAGGTATTTATAATAAGCTGCTCTAACAGACACAGCTCCTACAGATCATGGAACAGAATCTAAGACAAATTAGATGGTCACTTCAGAAGATAGACATATTTCTTAAAAGCTGTAATCTGAAAATGTTTTCAGCGTTTTGGATTAGTCCCCTCACCTCTGAAATACACGATCCAAATTATTCATGAAATAATGTGAAACTACTATTTTATATTTATAGTAAATAATACTTTCAAGATGTAAATAAATACTAAGTAACCTGGCTCCCACCATCTGCCATCTACTTACTTAATTGTTTCCTTCCAGGATACATACAGAGCAATATCAGAATTGTTAATCCATACTCTCATAGGACCCTTTTATCAATGAGGTACCCTGCTCATGTGCAATTCCTATTGCCTTAATCTTACAGACTCTTCTGATTTCCGGAGGGACTTAGAGCAGCACCTTTCCCCACTAATTCCCTTCAGTGAGGTTGTTTCCTACATTTGTAATGCAGTTAGAGTCTCTTGTTACCACCCGCATTTACGGAGGAGTCTCTAATCTCTTAAATGAATTTTTTAAAATCGGCAGGTCTTAACCTCCACTCTGTGTGCTGTACTATTCAATGGAATTTGACAAACGCATACAGTTTTGTATCCACAATTACCATATCATGCAGGTCAATTTTACAGCCCCAAAGTCCCCATTTCACTTGTTTGTTCTTCCCTTTTCCTTCCTTGAATCATTGATAGTCAACGATTTATTATGATCACGCCAGTGATCTATGGCTTTGCATTTTTCAGAATGTTATATAATTGGAATCCTACAGCATGCAGCCTTTTCCTATTAGCTGGTTTAACCAAGATTCTTTCATGTCTTTTCATGGCTTGATAGCTTATATCCTTTTACTGCAGACTAATATTCCAATGTATGGATATACCACAATTTGCTTATCTATTCCTATTTTAAAGGACCTCTTGGTTGTTTCTGGTTTGGGGTAATTATGAATAAAGGCCCTATTAAATATTTGCAGGCAGGTTTTTGTGTCAATGTAGATTTTCCGTTCAGCTGGGTAAATACCTAGTAGTGTGATTGATGGATCATGTAGGAAGACGATGCTTAGCTTTGTGGGAAACTGCCAAGCTGACTTCCAAAGTGGCTTTACCATTTTGCATTCCCACCAAGATTTCCTGCTTTCTGCATCCTCATCAGCATTTGGCATTATCAATATTTTTGGATTCTAGTCATTCTAATAGGTATGTATTAGTATCTTATTATTGTTTTAATTATTTGCAATTTCCTAATAACATGATGAACTGCTTTTTATATGCATATTTGCCATCTGTATATTTCCTTGATGAGTTCTCTTTTCAAATCTTTTGCCATTTAACTTATTTTCTTAGGATTGAGTTTTAAGCATATTTGGGGTAACTGTCCTGGGATGGATATTTGTTTTGCAGTTATTTTCTCCCAGTCTGTGGCTTGTCTTTTCATTCTCTTCACAGTATCTCTCACAGTTTTTAATTACAATAAAATCCAACTTATCAATATTTTCTTTCATAGATCATGCTTTTGGTGTTCTATCTAAAAACTCATCACCAAACCCAAGTTCACTTAGATTTTGTTTCCCCTGTTATCTTCTAGAAGTTTATAGTTTTGCGTTTTACATTAGATCTGTGATCTATTTTGAGTTAATTTTATAAAATACATGTTCTAGATTTTTTTTTTTTTTGCATATGGGTGTCCAGTTGTCCCAGCACCATTTGTTGGAAAGATTATCCTTTCTCCATTGATTTATCTTTGCTCCTTTGTCATGGATCAGTTGACTATATTTGTGTGGGTCTATTTATGGGCTCCCTATTCTATTCCATTGATTTATGTGTCTATTCTTTTACCAATATCACACTGTATTGATTACTTATAGCTTTACAGTAAGTCTTGAAGTTGGATAGTATCAATCCTACAACATTGTTTTTCTTCAGTGTTGTGTTGTCTATTCTGGGTCTTTTACCTTTCCATATAAACTGCAGGTTTAGTTTGTTGATATTCACAGAATAGCTTGCTATGATTTTGATTGGGATTGTATTGAACCCATAGATCAAGCTTGGAAGAACTGACATCTTAACAATATTGAATCTTCCAATCCATAAATATGGATTATCTTTCCATTTATTTTAGGTCTTCTCAGTTTTTACATATGTATCTTATACATATTTTGTCAGGTTTATACCTGTTTCTTTTTTTGAGTGCTATTGTAAATGGTATTATGTTTTAATTTGAAATTCCAGTTGTTCATTGCTAGTATATAAAAAAGCAATAGACCTTTGTATATTGACCTTGTATCCCACAAATTTGCTGTAATCAGTTAGTTCTAGGGTTGTTTTTTTGTTGTTGTTGATTCCTTGGAGTTTTCCACATAGTCATATCATCTGCAAGCAGTATACTTTTTATCTGCCCCACTTTTTCTGTCTTATTGCAGTAGCTAATACTTACAGTGCAATTCAAGTAAGAGTGGTGAGAGGAGACTTTCTTGTATTCTTCCTTATCTTAAGGGGAAAGCATCCAGTTCCTCATCATTAAGTGTAATGTTAGCTGTAGATTTTTTATAGATATTCTTTATCAATTTGAGGAAGTTTTTCTCTATTTCTAGTTTGCTGATAGTTTTTATATGAATGAGTGCTGGACCCTGTCAAATGCTTTTTTCTACATCTATTAAAATGATCATACAATTTTTCTTCTTTAGCTTCTTAATGTGATTGATTACATAAATTCATTTTTAGTTGTTGAACCAACCTTTCATATCTGGAATAAATCCCACTTGGTCATAGTGCATAATTCTTTTCATACATTGTTTAATGTGATTTGCACATATTTTGTGGAGGATTTTTACATTTATGTTCATGAGAGATATTGGCATAATTTCTCCTTCTTGTAATGTCTTCGTCAGATTTTGGTATTAGGGTAATGCTGACCGCAAAGAATGAGTTCTGACGTGTTCCCTCTACTTCTACTTTCTGAAAGATTATAAAGAATTGGTATCAGTTCTTCCTTAAACGATTTGCAAAATTCACCACCGAAATCATCTGGGCTTGGTGCTTTCTTTTTTAGAAAGTTATTAATTATTGACTCAGTTTTTTGTTTTTTAGAGAGACAGAGTGAGACAGAGTGTGAGCAGGGTTTGGTGGGGGAGAGAGAGAGAGAGAATCTTAAGCAGATTCCATGCCCAGTGCAGAGCCTGATGCGGGGCTTGATCTCACAACCCTGAGATCATGACCTGAGCTGAAATCAAGAGTCAGATGCTTAACAGACTGAGCCATCTAGATGCCTTGACTCAATTTTTAAAAATAGATACAGGCCAGAGGCAGGATGTGTGGGGTGTATTAAACGGGTGATGGTGGTCAAAGGGTACAAATCTTCAAACTTCCAGTTATAAGATAAATAAGTCTTGGCGATGTAATGTACATCATGGTGACTATACTTAACAATAATGTATTGTATATTTGAAAGTTGCTAAGAGAGAAAATCTTGAAAGTTCTCATCACACACAAAAAATTATAACTGTGTGGTGATGGGTGTTAACTAAACTTATTGTGGTAATAATTTCATATCATATCAAATCATTAAATTGCACACCTAAAATTAATGCAGTGTTATATATCAATTATATCTGGATTAAAAAATAGATATAGGCCTATTCAATTATTCATTTCTCCTTGTGTGAGTTTTGGTATAGTTTGTGTTTTTCAAAGACTTAGTCTATTTCATTTAAGTTGATCAGATTTGTGGGTATAGGGCTGTTCATAATATTGGGGAAAAGGAGACTGGATCCCAGGAAAGGGATGAGCCAGCCATAAGGCGCATAACTGGAGGTTATTATGTTTCTCTATTGATTTCCTATTTTTAATTTAACTGATTTCTGCCCAAATTTTTATTATTTTTTCCTCTGATCGCTATAAGTTTAAATTACTCCTTTCTTTAGTTTCCTAAAGTAGATGCTTAATTTACTGATTTTAGATCTTTCTTCTTTTCTAATAAATGCATTCAATGCTATAAATTTCCCTCTAAGCACTGCTTTTACTTCATCCCACAAATTCTGATATGTTGTATTTTTGTTTTCACTTAGTTAAAATTATTTTTTAGTTTCTCTTGAGTCCTTCTCTTTGACTCATGCGTGGTTTACTCTCTAAATATTTCAGGATTTTTTCCAGCTATCTTTCTGTTACTGATTTCTAATTTAATTTTTGTGGTCTGAGAGCATAATTTGTATGATTTAAATTCTTTAAAAAAATTTTTGGTGTGTTTTATGCTCTGAATGTGGTCCATCTTAGTGAATGTTCTCTGTGAGCTTGAGAAGAATGTGTACTCTTCTGTTGTTGAAGTATTTTAGAAATGTCAATTAATGCAGATTGATGAACAGTGCTTTTCAGTCAACTCTATCCTTACTAATTTTCTGCCTTCTTGATCTATCCATTACTGAAGGAGGGTGTTGAAATTTCCAACTAAACAGTGGATTTGTCAATTTCTTCTTGCAGTTCAATCCGTTTTTGCCTTGTATATCTTAATGTTCTCTTGTTAGGTATATACATGTTAAGAATTGTTATGTCCTTTAAATAACCGACTCTTTTACCATTACGTAACCCCCCTTTTTCTCCCTGATACCTATATCTGTATTCTTGTAAGAGTTTCTTGTCAACAACATATAAT